CTCTAGAACACGATATCCACGTGGAAGAAATGGGGACCTGGGGACAGCGGGCCGGGAGGGCGCATAAGCGGATCGGTTTGCGGATTGGATCCAAAATTCTGCGACGCTCCAGCCAGTATAGCGCCGTACGAGTGGCCGGACGACATCACCAAGTGGCCGATTTGTCGGAAAACTAATCCGTTCAATCAACGATTTAGGTAAATTCGTCATCCAAAAATCCAATCTGCTTGTATTATCAACTTCATTCTTCAATAAAAAAAAAAAAAAAAAACAGAGAAGAAACTTCAAATTCCGTCGTGTTTTTAAAAATGTCCGCTCAACAGTGGTAACTTTTACTCGCCAATAATAATAAAAAAAAAAAAAAAACCAGTTTCAAATTCGTGTTTTTAAAAATTTTACTTCTGCGCCTCGCAGAACATCAACTTCAAGCGGGAGGAGCCCGTATGACACACGGCGCCGTGTTTCAAATTCGTGTTTTTAAAAATTTTACAATCGAACAGGATGGTGTAGTTGTTTTTCCTGAATAATATCGAGGAAACCGTGTTTTCCTTGCTCAACAGTAGAAACGGGAGTCAACGGGGCAATGGAAACTTCCCGGTAGGCCGGTACAAGGACAAAATGGCGGAGCACATGGTCTGCGAGGTGATCGGTCATCCGTGTTGCATCGGTATCCACGGGATGTGCCGGATCACCACCAAGGAATACTGTGATTTCGTACACGGCTACTTCCACGAGGAGGCGTCGCTCTGTTCCCAGGTCGAGTGTTTGCACGACGTCTGCGGCATGATACCGTTTCTTCACCCCGAGTGGCCGGATCAGTTTTACAGGCTCTTCACCACCATGTTCCTTCACGCTGGGTACGTGTGCCTCTCTACGCTATGAATTCACCTCGATTTTTATTAACTCCGGTCTTGAAAAGAATTTCTCAAACGAATTATCTGTCTGATTGTCACGCTCGATTCGCAGGATCCTTCATCTGTCCATCACGCTAATGGTTCAGTATTTCTTGATGCGAGACTTGGAGAAGCTGACCGGCTCGCTGCGCATCGCTTTGATTTACTTCATCGGGGCGCTAGCTGGAAACCTGGCCAGCGCGATATTCGTTCCTTACAGAGCAGAGGTACGCGCATAATTTCTCATACACTTCCAGAGATTTCTTCTTCTTTCCTCTGGTCAGAACCAGCTCAGATTAAGGGAGCTTCAGATTTTCTTCTTGCTTTTCTGGAACACGATTCCATAGTCCAGGAAAACAAGCTTGGCCAATATGTTGAGAAGCTAACGAATTTTCAATAAAGAACACAGACAAAGGATGATTACCATAAGCGTTTGTATCTCCAGCCTCGAAGCTAAAACTTTCTCGAAGCTAGTTTTGCACCTCGGTCTCACGATCTTCAACGACGCCTTGACGCAAGAAGATCGGAGGAGAAAAATCGTTTTGCTTCCCACAGAAATTACAAGGGGAAGCCAGTGGCTAATTACCGGGCGGCGATGATTTTATTAGGCGGTGCCACGTAGAAGTTTTAATTGAATAATCTCGCGGGACGTTTAACGGGCGCGTTTCATTGTGTATCGTCGATATAATCGGCGCTTTGGACCCGGCCGGGCAAAGTAATTGCCCGGAGAGACTAGAGTTGCACCGTGGCTCATATCCATGAAAAGGATTAACAACATTACGATCGTTTCCTTTATGGTGTTTCCTCAGACCACGGCCGTCTTATCGCCCCGATAGTTTGCCACCCTTAACACCTCGGTGAACTTGGAGTTATACGTCAATTCTATTCCCTCTAGTCCCTCTCTGTCTCTCTCTATTTCCGAGTGTTACTCTCTATCAGCGAGCGTACACTCGTGAGTTAGAACAGCCACCAACGCCACAGCATGGGCGAGAAAGGGCGAGAGAATAAAGGGGCGGACAGAAAGCACCGTTTCTCGAGAACTAATACCGTCCAATTTGTTCTAATTAGTTTGGTTAAACGTACCTTCCGCTTTGGGAAACTTTGTCTCTCTCTCTCTCTCTCTCTTACACACACACACACACACACACACACGCGCGTACACACGACTCACACACCTTTCTCTTTACGCGGCTCCATAGTGTTAATTATTGTTTCACCCTGACTGCTCGGAGAAAGCTGGTCGCGCATGTTAACGCGATTTCTCGTGTGCGTGGATTATCGATAACTTGCTCAACTCGTTCAGCCGTGGTTTCTTGCGGAAGATTTGTATTAAATTTCTGTGCAGAGTACGGCGAAACGAAAGGAACAACAAATCCACTGCCTTTTCATCGACGTACTATGATTTGCAATGAATCATTTGAACCCCTGGCGAAAATGTTTTTGATCAAACAAAAGTTTTAAAAATAACACTGAAATCTCTCGCGCGTTCGTGAATTTAATTAAAACTATTTAATTCATTTTTTTTCACAAGTGTGTTTCAAACAAGTATAATAGAATTTTATATATTTCTTTCGATACTTTCGTAGAGTTGCGACTGATGACGAAAAGAATCTTGAACATGAGTATTTTTAAATTAACAAACGTTCTAAAGAGTCGACAATACTAGCGGAATACAGCTTCTAGAAAAATTACTTTTAAAGATCCATATACATACAAGGTTGAAAATAAATCTCGAGGTGGAGACATTTTACACGAGTATTTCTAAATTAATTAACATTCTAAACGAGTAGAGTGTAGGAAAATTACTTTGAAAAATGTATATAAATATACATATCATAGATATACATACGTACTTATATATATATGTATATACATATATATATCATAGATATACATATACATATAGATATCATAGATATACATATACATATACATATCATAGATATACATACGTACTTACATATATATATGTACATATACACGTTGAATCACATATACAAATGAACCTTGAACATTTTACACCAGCATTCTTAAATTAACAAACGTTCCAGAGAATCGAAGCTGGAATACTACTCTTCCAAACATCCATCTGCAAATCCCATCTTAAAAATCTTTCAACTGCTGACTAAAAACTCGTGATTTCAGGTGGGGCCGGCAGGGGCTCACTTCGCCCTCCTCGCTACGTTGATCGTCGAGGTGTTGCACTGTTGGCCGATGCTGAAACATCCACGCCGGGCCCTGTCCAAGCTGATCCTCGTCCTCCTGGGTTTGCTGGTCCTCGGCATACTGCCCTGGGTGGACAACTACGCTCACCTGTTCGGTTTCATCTTTGGTTTCCTGGCGGCGTACGCGTTGATGCCGTTCATCTCGTTCGGCCACTACGACCGCCGACGCAAGATCTGGATGATCTGGATCTGCCTGATCCTGATCATCGTTCTGTTCACCCTTCTCCTAGCCCTGTTCTACAATGTGCCGGTGTACGAGTGCGAGGTGTGCAAGCTGTTCAACTGCATCCCGTTCACGCGCGACTTCTGCGCCTCGCAGAACATCAACTTCAAGCGGGAGGAGCCCGTATGACACACGGCGCCGTGTTTCGAAATCCAGTTCGAACCATCATTCCACGTGATTCATGGTCAAACAAGGGCGGCTGTGCCCGGCTCTGCTCGTTTGGCCGCCCTGGCTCTGTTGGTATGCTGTTCAAACCGGTATGCAGAAACCGTCGTCATCATCATCATCATCACCATCATCGCCACGATTCGAAGGAGACGAGGACGAACGCGATCCACGATTGGACGAACGCGAGCCTCTTCCGCGCGGATGACTCGGTGCGTCGGTTAGAAGAGGAAGAAGAAGAAGAAGAAGCATCGAGGAATCTCGGAGGGACGCTCGTCCAAGACGAACGACACTGCCTTAAAGTAAAATAAACTCCACCGAAGAGTTCTCCGCCAGGTCTTTTTAGCCAGTGGGCCCCCTCTGCGTGGCTCCTCGGTGGCATGTAAATATTAGAGAAGAAGAAGAAGTAAAAGAAGAAGAAAATAAAAATTAACGCGCCTTTTAACGTAACGCGACCATCGTTCCCGACGATCGTGCTTCGAGGGTGGACGCTTTTTGGTCCGAAGCGAAGATGAAAGTGAAATTGTTCGTGATGGAACGAGACAGAGAGACAGACAGATAGAGAGAGAAAGAGAGAGAGAGACAGTGGAATTGGAACGAAACGACGACGACGATGAGGACAAGGGACAAGGACGACGATGTCGGATCGTTGGAGATCGAGAAGACTTCTCACGCCCTCTCTTCGGACGTTCGACGAAGAAAGGAAGGAGAGGAACGCATGTGTACATAGAACGAAAGACTCTTGTTACATATACATATATACATACGATCGTAAGAACGACCTTTAATAAGTTTAACTTTAGAGAAACGAAACGAGGGAACGAACGAGAATGGGAGCAAGGGAACGTGTTGAAAGTGTTTAACTGTCCGTATACCTCCGACGCTGGGACTATCTGTGATCGGTGGACACGAGAGAGAGAGAGAGAGAGAGAGAGAGAGAGAGAGAGAGAGAGAGAGAGAGAGAGAGAGATAGAAAGAGAGAGAGAAAAAGCGAGAGAAAGAGAGAGAGAGAGTGAGTGTGAGAGAGAGAGAGAGAGAGAGAGAAAGAGAGAGATCGTCTTCGAGAATATTTTTCATAAAACACAAGCCAAGAGGTGAGAAACATCCAGGTGCGGGACGATCTTACGCACGATTGCGAACGCGAAATTGAATCGGTCAAGGGAGGAAGCTTGATTCATCGTGGTTAAGATTAAGGGTTGGTTGTAGGTAGTGGCGAAATCGCGTGCAAATCGGATCGGAGCAACGTTAATCGAGAAGAAAGTGTTTAACGATAAGTATATCTCGGGTGAGGAGTTAACAGGAGAGAAAGAGTAAAAAGAAAAAAAAAACGAATCAATTTTTTATAAACGGCGTGCGAGAGCGGGAGAAAGTGAGGAACGATTATCAGAGAACACTTAATCAATTTCCACCCTGTATATAACAATAGCTGCGAGGAGAAATCGGCTCGGGAGGGGAGGATAGAACGAGAAGGGTTCAGAAGGGTTGGTGAAACGAAGGGTTGGTGAGACGAAGAGAAACAGAGAAACAAAGCAACACTGTGACATTCGTGAATGTGTATTTTATTAATAACGGGTATGTAAATGTAAGAAACGAAGAAAGATTGTCTGTCTGTCTGTCTGTGTGTCTGTGTGTGACGGTGTGTGTATGTGAGAAAGAAAAAGAGAGGAAGAAAGGAGAGGAATGAATGTGTTTCTTGTCTGCCGTGTAAACGATGATACAATTGAGATGAAAAATAGCAATAGCGAACGTGATGTGCCACAACGTGGAGATCGTCGCAAACATAAATGTTTGAAAGTGATTCGGCGAAGGCAAAGGAAAAACGAAGAACGCAAAGAAGAACAACGGTGGGGGGGAAGGAGCGCGTTTCTTCTTGCAAAAAAAGAAAAAAAAAGAAAAAAAAAAAAAGAAAAATGTCGTGTCGCGCGTTTCAGTCATTCGCGATCTCTCTCATTTCATTCGAACGTAGCATGCTCGACGAGAGGGAGTCGAATTAGGTTTCGCCTCGGTGTGCAGGCTCTATCCGGTTTTCACGGGAATCGTAGAAACATGCCACGTTGGAAGGAAAGCGCGCGCTTTCTGCTTCGTGTCCAAAGTTTCCATAGTTACCCCTACATTTTTCTTTTTTTTTTTTTTCCGGTACTCAATGTGGCGCGCCTAATTAAAACCTAAAAGAGAAATTATCCGTTTTACGAAAAACAGATCCTCCTGTCACTTCTTCATCACGATATATACATATCAAAAAATTTCTCGGTTCGGTTGCTGGATAAAATTCTGCGATTTCGGAAGACAGAGTGGAAGTTGGAATCTAAATTTTAAAGTTAAAAAAGAAAAAAAAAAGAACTCGTTCCGAGATATTTAAAATCGCGGAACTGCAGAGACGTGAAGAGTCAGAAAAGCGTCGTTTCCTTCCTTCCAATAGCAATCCTTCCTTCGTGCTATTTTTCCGAAATACGTAACGATTAAACACCAAATGTTAACAATTTTAATGGATTAATTGACGATGTATTCTTAGCGTTCCTTTGTTCGAATCCCGCGAATGCATGGTTTTCTATCCTCGTACGTGTTGAGCATGCCGCGAGAGCAAGGAAAAAACAGTGATTCGTACGTGATAGTTGTAATCATGAATGAGTAAATATAAATATATATATATATATATATATATATATATATATATATATATATATTCGTAATCGCTCGTGAATATATGTACGTTAATTGGAGTATAAAACGCGGTATCAAAACGCACTTTTTTCAAAGGGATGAGAAGTAAAGGGAAAGCCAGAGACCCTACGATGGATATACTAACGTAAAAAAAGGAAAAAAGAAAAAAAAAAAACATGTAAACGATTTCATTATTCTTCGTATAACCGGCGAAACGATTTTTATACATTTTTCCCTGCGTGTAATGTATCGCTAGCGCTTGAAGAGAAGTCTCGAAATTTCCAGCGGAAATCCAACGTTCTCTTTCGTTCCTTTATCGGCGAAGGGCAACTAATCGACGTTTCATTAGTTCAAAGACTTACTTCACCTTCTGGCTTCTTGATATACTTGTGTAAGAGATATAAACGTAAGGGAACTCGTAAGCGAGGAGAACATTTGAAAGTACAATAAAAGCCGCCACACATCGGTCACTCGTTTGATTTATTCCATTTTTTTTTCTCTCGTTTTTTCTTTTTCTTTTTTTTTTTTTTTTTCTTTTTCTCTTCACAAATGTGACGAAATCAGGGAGCAGTCCTCTGTGGATATTATTATGGCAAACGCGACAATTACGATAATCGAAAACCATGCTCGATGAATAGAGGGAGAGAAAGAGAATTTCGTGACGTCTCGACCAAATCTCGACTCGCGTACCCTCGTTCTTTTGTTTCTTTTTCACCGTTTGCCCGACCAGGCTACGCACAAGTTTCTACGCCACACAGAGAGCCGCGTTTAACCATTCGGTCGGGCACGAATTCACAAAAAAAAAAAAACTCTCGTTCTCGCGACTAGGTGAAAAAAATTCTCTTTCGTAAAAAAAAAAAGTTATCCTTAAGCGGATCGGCCGAATTTCCACGAAATTTCGCGCGAAATATATTTTTAACGAAATATATTTTCACGTTGAGACTTCTTTCCCGAAACTTTCTGAATCCGAGTGGCGAATGGCTAGCCGCGATACGATTAATTAGAGGAATTCTTTCAGCTTGTGAAAAATTCCTTCTGGAATGCTCTCGAATTTTTTTCTTCCACGCCCTTGGAGAACAAGTACCTTTTGAAAAGATGAAAATCCTCCTCTCGACTCGGAGTGAATTTCCATTCGCGAGTCGGAGCCTTTCTCAAAGAAATTTCTGTCGAAAGAGAAACGTGAAATCGAAACCGAAGTTCTCAAATTCGATCGGAATGCTCGCGGTATTTACGCAGGTCTGTAAATTATTTCTTGCCAAATTTTTTACGAAAGCGACGCCCGCTGCGAAAATAATAAGTTAGAAATTGTTCGTGCCACGAGTTAGAGACGACACGAGAGACGAATTTGCTCGACCACGCACACGATATTTTCATGTTGCAACGCGTGAATCCGCGAAGCGCAGCAACACGAGCAAGAAGACGAGAGCACTCGAATCATTTTCTACTCTCTGCCGTTGATTTTCCCACGGACGAAACGGAGAACGCAACTTTTGCTAACCGAGCCCTGCCTTCAATTGATTTTTTTCTCGTCGTACTACGGGGGAGGAGGCTTGAGACGCCTCGTTGCCGGGGCCATTCGCGTGAAAATTCTACTTCATTGCCGCAGACATTGAAAGAAATACTCGATAAACGAAACTCGAAACGAGACGAACGTTTGTGAACGTCTCATTTCCAGTGGACGACGACTCAACACGACTCGAGTTTGCACAACAGCGAATTGCCTGCCTCGAAATTTCAGCCTTCCCCCCCCCCCTCCCCCAGCGATTCGATACACTGAACACGCATTAAACAAATTACACCGGATCGAAACGGACACATCGACAGACGTCTCGTTGCTCGGAGCGAGCGGAAAGAGAAATGACGCGTTGGTTGTCTCGCGGTGGGACTCTGGAATTTTTGGAAATTTGTTAGAAACTTGAGTTTTCCAACACTTTCGATATTTGTGTCTCGAATTGAAGCGAAAAGACGATCAGTGTAAATCGATCGGGGGCGATTGTTTCGAAGAACGAGAGAACGCACTCGGAAATCGTGTGAATTTCTTGAAAAAAAAAAAATCCGAACAGCGACAAGTCCACCAAAAAGTCAAACCGGCGCCATTATTTATTTCTCCCACCGTGCAACGCGAAGAAAAAAGTCAAATCGATTTGAACCGAATTGTCGCGAATGAGACAATTCGACCGCAGAGCAGAGTTCAGAGGAGGCGAGATTTCAAGCGAGAGGATCGTGAGCAGCGAGAGAGAGAAAGAGAGAGAGAAACGGTGACAGTTTCGGACGTTCGGCGACGCGTTCGAGAAACATTTTTTTGTGATAAATGATCGAGCGAAAGACGAGAAAGAGACGAAAGGGGTGGAGAGATGAGGGAAGGGGAAGGGAGTGCGATGAAATGGCGATGAAGGAGGTCCAGGACCTTTGAACATTCAAAGTCGGAAAGACGCGCTACACATACACATACTTACATAGACACACGAGCCACTCACACACACTGAACTTTTCGGATTATATAAATATATAAATATATAAATATGAATATATAAATATAACACGTATACATAAAGAAGAAAAAAAAGTACGAATTAAGGAGCGAGGTGGACCGAGGTGGCGATTGTCGACGAGTAACATATTGTTATTATTGTAAATGTGTCATATACAGGTAATAGCATGTCATACAAAAGAGAGAGAATGTGTGTATGCGCGTGTGTATGTGAAAGAATGAACGAAAGAGAGAGAGAGAGAGAGAGAAACTGAGACACGTGAGGGAAAGAAAAATTGAGCGAAAGGAAACTATGAAATACCTTCGATATTCCCATATCGATCTCACGGTGAGATGGAATATCGTCTCTCGCCTGTGGGGACGATCAGTCCAGTGTCACGTTCGCCTATGGAGAGAGATAAAGGGTTACGAGAGTGACGATCAATCAGAGAAAAAACGATGACACAAAAGTTTCAACGAAATTTGCAAAATTGTAATTCGTTCGATTGGTTAACGAAATCTGTCAGAAATTATATATATATAATATTAATAATTATA